TAGATTCTTTAATATTTTATAACTTATCATATCCTTACCTGGTGTTGTGTTCTTTGAATTATTAATAGCTGATTTTAGTTCAAAATAATTAAACTCATCATCCAAAATACTATTAAAATCTTGCTTTTTCTTGCAATTATTTCCATATATACTCATAATTTGCTGTCGGCTTTTTAAGAATGTATCATCTAAGTTTTCAATGCTATGACCTTTAGCAAATGTTTGAGCCAACATTGTGACCTTATCTTTATTTGTAATGGCTATTGTCCCACCTTCCTCCATTACAGGTATCTTTCTGAAGCTGTCAATTCCATTCATCTTCTTTATCATACGCCAGACTGCATTTATTTCGGTTTCCCTCCCTATTGTATTACAGAAGCTTTGCCATGCTGTCTTCTTTGTATTTTTAATAACCTTTTTAACATTTTCTCTTTTGATAATCTATGACTGCTTCTGGAGTGAGTGTTCTTTTTTTTTTAAATTAACATTTCTCTAATTGCTTTCGAGCATTCCTCTGACCACCAAGGTACATTCTTTCTTTTACTTGTACCACTTACTAGCGGGATAGATAGATTGTGATACTGCAAAATAAATGCCATTCACTACTTTACCATACCTATCATCAACACTACCCTCTACTGACAGATTTTCACATTGTTCTTCACATAACATTTGAAACTTTTCCCAATCTGCCTTTTTATATATCCATCTTAAACCATAATTACAATTTTGTATTTGAATCTTATTTTGAATTTCACAGATCACTCGAAAATGATCACTTCCAATATTATCTTTAGCTACTGACCATATGCATTTACCAGCTAATGATGCTGAAACGATTGTGATATCTAAACATGACATTGCACCTCTTATTATGTCTATTCTTGTTGGGTTGCCTTCATTTAGACACACTAAAGAGTTTTCTTCCATGAATTCTTCTATTACGTCACCATTTTTATCTGTGTTCCTGCTACCCCAAATATTACTGTGTGCATTAAAATCGCCACACATAATAATTTTGTTTGACGATTCTCCCATGGCACTTTTCAGAATGCCTACTGATAATTCCGAACAAGGATTATAAAAATTGACTAATCTGATTACCCCCTGTATACCCATTACTTCTATACATATGCTCTCTGCATTACTTTCACTATTTACATACCTGTATATCACATTTTCTTTTATGAATGTCGCACATCCTCCACCTCTACCATTATTCCTGTCTTTCCTTATTACTTCATATCCATTCAGCTTAAAATCTAATGACTTGCATAACCATGTTTCTTGTACACAAATTATATCAGGAGATTTATTCATATCTGCAACATATTTTTTAAACTCCTGCCCATTAGCGATCATGCTTCTGGCATTCCAATGAAGCAATAGGAAAGACATGATAATGTTATGTATCCCTACATTGAAATGCATCATAACTTGTTGTTATACTTCCTTCTGTTTTTCCTTCTTTTGATTTTAATATCTTGTGAATTTGCTCTGCTGATATACCAATGCAATTCAAGAATTTGTTTGCACATTCTACAACAATTTTTATTTTGTCTGATCTTCTTTCCACCTGTGCGGTGCCATTCACCACTGCACAGACAAACACCACAAAATCAGTTTTGCTCATGTTAATACTGTCTGCGGAGTCATTTTTTAACAAGTTCATCTGTTTCATTGACTCATTCGCCTGAGAAGTTTGCACCTGTTGTTCTTTTTTAATTCTTGTTTCTGCTACTTGTTTCACTCTACGAGCCGCTTCTGCATATGTTAAATTCTGGATGGACTTTACCTTCTGGATCTCACGAGCCTGCTGTTGCACTGGACACCCTGCATATGCAGCGCTGTGCTCTCCCCCACAATTGCAGCATTTCATCTTAGTCCCGACACTTCCCGTACTCATGCTCTTCTCCACATTTTGCACACTGCATTTTCCCTTTGCAAACAGCAGCGGTATGCCCTATGCGTTGACAATTGTAACAACGTAATGGAGGGGGAACATATTCCCGTACCACATAACTGATGAAACCTAGCTTCACCTTTACTGGTAAATTGCTGTCTTCAAAGTGTATCAACATTGAGAGACTATCACATTTTTTATTATCTTTCCATATCATCAGTCTTTTGACCGAAGCAACTTTGCCTCCTATCAAGTTTCCTTTTACTTCCTCCATAGTTACATTCAAGGGCACTCCTGAAATCACCCCACTCTTCCTCATACCTACTTCAGCACAGCTTATTTTACCACCAGCCAGTGATTTTAGTTTTAGTATCTTTGCTCTCTGATTTTCATCCTTACACTTGATCAAAACTCTTCCATTGTTCAAACGCGTTGCCCCTTTCACTGATCCTACTTCTTTTTCTATCGCTTTTGATAATTTAACAGGATGCATTCTTCGTTCCCTACTCAGGGAACCATGGTTACACAAGTAACCTGAGACTTTCTGCTTGTTTGACAAATGTGATCATGACTTTTATGTCTTTATCCTCATTACTTATCACCCTTTGCCCGGTCTCCTTAATTTTACTTGAACACATTTGTTCACATTCAAACTCATCACGCATGTTATTTCCTTTTTTCTTTTATTATATCGTACTTCATGGAATTCAATTTTTGATTATCATCATCCGAAGAATCATCAATTATGTCCACCTACTTGAGTCCAAGAAAATAACTGTTCTTATTCGACCATTTAGAATGTTGATTTTCTACCGCCAATGTTGTTTTCGTAGTTCGCTCCCTCGTCTTCGGAAGTGCCCTTCTTCCGTCCGTAAAACCTGTCGTTTGAAGCGGCAACATTTGAATTTGTAAAGAGTGCATCAGTCAGGCTCAGCGCGGGCTTTGCTGCTCACGGTCACTGGACTCTCTGCTCGGGATGAAGCAAGCAGATCGCAGAAAAAAGGCTTGGATTTGGGTCTGTTCCTGGCAGTCGTATGGATTCGGAAGATTTGGATTACAGCGCACTAATAAAATTGTTTCATTTTGAAATTATGTTGCGTTTTTGATGTATTTTATAGTTCTATTGTCAGTCACAGCATGTCGGAGAAAACGCCTTTTGTGGCCCATGACAATCAAAGTAAACATATGACAAGGTTAAACGATTGCAGAAATGTTATTTATTATAAGGTTGAAAGTGAAGTCGTGTTTAACATTATGTAGGCATATTCTTGGAAACGGGCTGGCAGCAGAAATCACAACAAAACGAAATGTTATCATTTCATAATTAAATGAGTAAACAATTTAGTAGTTCAATTGAAAACAAGGTAATTCATATGACAACTAAAAACTAATAAAATTAATGCCGCGATTTCAATTTTCATAAGGATTCATTTTTAGGTGTCGTCAATACGTCAGTTTTGTACGTTTAGAGGCTGAAAATACGTCAGTATTTGTACGTTTTAGTGCCTGTAAAAACGTACGTAAATGTACTTTTTATAGAACCACATTTTACGTAAAATACATACGAATTATCATGAGATCACGTTGGATAGCCACTGATACCACATTAGCAGTTTTGCTGTAGTAAAACTACACTATCATAACTAATAACAAAATGTAATAATAACACTCCTAATATTCTATAATAACGACAGCATCTCGCACGGTGTGCCCCTGATATAATCAGTGTTTGTGCTACAAGCAGTGTGCAAACCGCACTACAAGCGCCATCTAGTGTTGAGTTACTATTTATCTAATATAAATACATGAATTAAAAAGCTTTAAAATTAGTTGGTTAGGTGCTGTATTCATATCTTGATTAAAGCTCAAAAACTGAATCCTGAAATGCTAAAGTTTGAGGTTTGATGTATTTCTAATAATAACTCAAAAATGCAATTTATGATAAAGTCCCAGATTTCAGCAAAGAATGTTTCGTCTTTATTATACATAGCAATTTAAAAGAAAATTGACCTGTTTAATCCCTAATTTTTCCCAGACATGAAAATATCAAAATTATGTGTCATTAGTAACCCTTTGCAATAATCAAATATTTAAAAAAAAATTTTTTTTGGAAGTGTGCAAAATTGTGGTATAATGTGTATACTGAATTAACATATTTCTGAGGTCATCAAAATTTGTGTATATCTCAGCCCAGCTACTTTAAACTATGTTTGATCAGATTCTAGGGTTACTATTACGCATAAAACCCCTTATACAACACTGATAGGAATACTGAGGGGAAAAAAAGACAAAAAATAACCATCAACATATTTCAAAATTGTTACTTTAATGTATCATCAAAAAATTGTTATATAAGTGCAACCAGTATTACATCATCAATATAGTAATTTAATTTATAACATTTACAATTTTAATTTAGTGCAGTATTCACTATAACTTTGCCATTGCAACATTTTAGAGAAACCTTCACCAACAGCTGCAATTGGATTTATATGTATACCTAAAATATCCCACCGGTCACTATTGTGACCATCAACATGTTTACTCATTCTATGACCATACTCAAACAAAACTGAATATATGTGAATTCATATATAGTAATACTGGACACCTTAAAGATAATGTGTACCAAAAATCTTCTTTATGTTGACATACTTTACTAGCCTTTTGTTTTGGAGCTTTGATGCAGTTATCATCTTCTCAATGTGCAAACAGGAAATAAACTGCTTTGGTCATGTGACAACTTGCACTAATCATGTGAAACTGCACAGATTTAATTGAGACCCTTTATTTTTTCCATATTTGCAGGAAATGCACTAAAACACCAGTCACTAACATTTTTAGAGCTTTATAAATGAAAACCTTCTTTATGGTCACTATTGTAACCGGTGGGATTAAATGAATTAAGGCAAGACACTACAGGTGAATAAGGTAAATATTATATCACCATATTTCCTCAGATGATCAATCACAGTACACAAAGACAATTTTTTACTAAACAAATATATACATATATCAACAAATACATACAAACAAAATAAATATATACAATATATTCAAACTAAATGAAAAAAATAAATTTACTAGCCAATGGCGATTTTTTTCTTTTTTAAAGTAGAAAAAGGGAATAATGCCACCCATACACTACAACATTTAAAGTTGTCAGATCTCTTTTACAGTATGCAATTGTTTTTGGGAATCTTAAAGTTATTGCGGTTTACACTACATGACATGTTGGTGACTGGGTGTAACATATTACACTATTTCACTAGGAAGAATCCTCATCTCATGCAGAAAAGGCATGAGTGAGAAGTGAAATTACATGATGTAAGATCATATGTGAGCCGAACTCTGGTGTGAGACTGGAGCTCTCCCTTCCCCTGTATTATGCTCTCTCATTGGCTATAAGTCACCGCCGATGTCATTACAAGTTCAAACACATTTCGCACTGCTAGACACTGAATCGCAGACAGGTCCAGATTTTTATCCTGCTATAGGCTGCTAAATATTTGTTGAGCATCTGCGACACATCAATGGTTCTCTCAAATCACGTCTTTGATATTTCAGACCATGTGAACTTCATTAATATAAGCTTGCACTTATTTGCAGCAGATTTCAGGTTTTGTCAGCGATCGCCACAAAACTTCACTGATGTGAGTGAAAATTGGGCATAAAATTGTGTAGTGTATACCCGGCATAAAGGAACAAAAGCATTGCCAAAAAAAGAAGAAAAAAAGGAAACAATTAAACAATAAGCTGACTAGCTAAAGGCAGATGTATATACACAAATTATGTGCACAAGATGTTTACAAGCACTGGTTTACACGTGCAACAGTGTAGCATCCAATGAATTCGCACTCCCAGTCTCCCTCGCTGGCAGTGACACTATTCTACAAACACATAAAGAACAAAAATATTACATCTTATGTTGGTGAGTATTAAGACAGTCTTGTTCTCAGAATAAAGTGGTACTTAGTGATTTTAGATTACTGTTATTTGGTTTATTTGGGAGATATCTGAATGATTTGTTTTTCTTAACATGACCTCACTGGTAAAGTTTTACCTGGGTATGAAAAAATAAAGGAGAAGAAACAGATTCACAGTGAACATTTGTTACACCCAGACTCTAAAGTGAAGTCAGAACATAAGTCAGAATTTTTTTTGACAATTATATAATAACAATATAAAAAATACTGTTCACTCTGAGTAAAACAGTACAATACAGTACAAAAGCAGAAGTATATTAAAGAGTCAATTATTGTTGGTGTTTCTGTGTACTGATTTCTAAGTTTCTCACAGATCTGAATCTGTGGTTATTTATTTATTTATTTAGGCAGACAGAATCAGTGCTCGTATCTCACCTGATCATGCTTGTTCTGTGTATCTGTTTGTTTCACATACACACACACACACACACATCCCATGCTGTATGTAATACTCACTTATCCTTCTTGCATAGAGGAACACAGCAGCTACTGCAGCAATGAGCGACAGAACAACAGCAACAACAACAATTCCTGCTATAGCACCTGGAGAAAGACCTGAATCTGGAACAGATAAAGACAGACAGTCATTATTACTAGAGAGTGACTGATTATCCATCCACTATTTACCAATATCTTTAATTTATATTTACAGCTTTCTACTTTGTTCATCAGCTGTATGATATTGATTTAACTGATAAAGGGCACCCTTTGGTGTTTTTATTTTTTTAGGAACAGCAACTAAAGTAGCATCACAGCACTGTAGCCAAAGCTCACTTTCAAACAGGACACAATAACATTAAATAAAATTATTACTATTAAATAAATGATTTATTAAATAATTAAAAATAATATTAAACTGACAATAATATTGGACTGTATTTTAAGGTAGAGGGCAAAGTCAGTTAATAACTAAATTATACTCACCAATGACAGTCAATACAGCTGATGTTCTGCTAATGCTGATTCTGCTGCTGCTGATCTGTAGTTTATAATCTCCAGAGTCTGTGGTTCTGGTGTGTGTGATGGTCAGAGATCCAGTCTGATGATGCAGCTTCAGTCTGTCTCTGAATCTCTCTCTACACTGATCATCTGTACAGATCTTACGCTGATCTCCAGTGATTTCAGTGATGAGAATGTCATTAAAATACCACGTCATCACACCATTCAGGTTTTTTACTACACCAGGATCTAAAGTAACCGATTCTCCCTCCTTCACTGACTTTCCCTTCATTTCGTCTCGTTCTGGAACATCTGAAACACAAACCAACAGCTGCTGGAGGATCTTTTTGGAGAAAGAAACCTGATTGATCATAATACAAATAAAGACTAGTTAAAAAAAAAAAAAAATTATTTCACATGCTCTTTCTTGACTTTGACTAAAATGCAAAAATGTGTCTATAAGTTGTGCTATATACGTTGAACATACATCCTGGAGAGCTAAAACCAAATAATTAAGAAAAAAATATGGACATAATAACAGATAACAAGAAAAGGTGATCAGAGATGGTTTCAGAGATTAAAAATGGAAATCATTCTGTTCTGTTCAATGATACAGGAAAAGAGGAGCTCTGAATGTCACGGTTATAATAAACATACATAATCTGTTTCTAAATATTCATTAAATGACTCACCATGTACTGAAACACTGAATATCTTGTCACTGAAGCTGCCTCTGTTGATGACCTTTCCTATGTAAACTCCAGCGTCTGTGTTTCTGGTGTTTGTGATGGTCAGAGATCCAGTCTGATGATCCAGCTTCAGTCTGTCTCTGAATCTCTCTCTACACTGATCATCTGTACAGATTTCTCTCTTTTCTTCAATGATTGCAGCGACTTGGGTGTCACTAAAATACCACCTTATCTTTCCTTGTTGATTTGCTTCAATATTAGTGTGTAGAGTGACTGAATCTCCCTCCATCACAAACACCAACTCTTCATCTGCACCAACACCAGACACACCTGGAAGAGAACAAATGAGCATTTAATTAAATCTGTGATAGTGGGCATAAATTACACAACACCTAAGCACTGTCTACATGTTTCAGACATATTTCACTGTCTGAAAAAGATTGTAGATTTAAATATGTCCAGTTTGCATTCATTTACAAGTGTAGTAGACTATCAAAACTAGACTTCTTATGTCTCGCCTGCTTCTCCCTACGAGGGGTGAGATTTTGATTAGGTGTGGGGGTGGGCTTTAGAGATGGAGTCCAATCAGGTAGCAGTATCCCCACAGCAGTTTTCTCCCATTGTTCAGTTCATTTAGGCATATGGTATTTAATGATTTATAAACAGCATTTAACAGATTATTCTTCTAATAAAACATTTGCAATAGGTTTGTAAAAGGTGCTTCTATTTGAACAAAATAAATAAAAAAACATTTTTTTTTAAATCACTGCTCAAATATGTTGTTAACTTAATGTCTTCAGCCTTAATAAGGATTAGCTAATCTATCCATTATAGTATCTCTTCCCTGATTTATTTGTATCTTTGTTCTATTGTATTTATTTGTACTATTGCTTGTAATATGTTCATTTGTTCTTATTGTTTTACTGACTGTTTACATGTCTTTAATTAACATAATTTTTATTAAAAAAATACTATTTTTGTTTTTGTGGCAAGGCCGGTAAAAATTTTGTCAGGGCAAATAAAATCTAAACCAGATTAAACCAGTAAAAAAAACGCCTTGCCTTGGTGTTGTGTCCTGTGTATATAAAGAGTCACGTTCAAGACGGGTCCCTTTTGTTAAATAAAATAAACATAAAAATCTGTTATGGGAGAAATAAAGCAATGTTAAATCCGTCCCACCAGGAACGTCGCTTGGCAAAGGATGTTGGTGAGCAGAGCCCCGCCTCAATCTTACATTTTGAAAGCTCAAGCAGTCCATTTTACAAAATCGTGCTAACAAACATAACCATGATAACAGAAGAGCTGCCAGGGACAGAAAACACTTTAAACAGACTGAAATTAAACGCTGCCATGCATTGTTAAAACAGCGAACATAATGTGACCCTTCACGTGTATTTTAAATAACTAATATTCATTAAAAAGCTCTCCGTTTAATAAGTGTGGAAGGTAATTGTGACCCAATAGCTGCCTTATCCGTTCCACTTTCAGAAAAGCGTCTAAAACTATAACAAGATGTCATCTTCACTCCTTAGCAACATAAAACAGCATCAATTAAGAAATAATACATCGATTTCTGCCGAATATAAAGTGATTAAATGGAAATACAAAATGAACCGGAAAAGAGATCGTAAATACATGTCTTACCAAGCACGAGCAAAACATTCACCAATGTCCACAAAACAGCAGAGTTCATTTTCACCGCTTTTCGTCTTTACAAAGAAGTAAACTAAATAAGTAAATCGAAAGTAAGCTGCCTAAAGCCTGTTCTTCCGCACTTCGCTTTTGTGGTCGCTTTGCTAAAGCACGTGATCTGTGACGTCAATCTTCTTTCGCCTACAAACCACGTGACTGCGACTGGTTCAATGAAGTTTTGGGTTAACTTGCAGGGTAGTGATAAGAACCATCGTACACGCACAACAATAGCTATGAATTCAATGTTTTTATGATAAATTTTTTTGTCTTTCATACAGATTAGATGGATCTAAAGATCCAATCAATCAAAAAGTTGGTATTGAAGTGTACATTCACAAAATCAGCACGGAAAAAAAAACAGTTTTATGGAAGGCATGGAAAGGCAGAAAGGAATGATTTTAAAGGGTGGAAGGAACAAATTCAGCACTTGCATTAATGGGGAAGCATGAAAATGGTATGTGTGATGAATGTGATGTTTTAGACACAGAATGCGCTTTTTAAACGTAGTAAACACGATGATCAGAGTAGTCTTTTTATCAGTATAAAGAATAGACCAGCGAGTGCCGTGGACCTTTTGGGAAAGGGTTTGAGAGATGATCAGATATGCAGTATATGGCTGTTTTAAGCTTTTTAGAGCTTACAGGATTAGACCAAATGATTTAGGCCTAGGGTCTGTGGATCATGATGCTTCTGCCCACAGTGGAGTTTGAGGAGTCCAGTGTGGAAGCTGGAGGAGCTTAATACCGGTAATTAAAAGTCAATCAGCAATTCAATTTATGCTCAAATTAACTTTGCCTATGAAATAACAGATAAGGACTGAGGCAGAGTTCAAATAGACAGATCACAGATTGAATTTATACATTTATTTTTAATTTATTTTACTTATTTTACTGCCAGTACACAGACACAAATTAATAACTTTGACATTGATAAACAAAACAAAACAAATAATTATTTGCAGAGCCAGATGTGAAACCACAGCGGCTGTAACAGCACTTTGGAAGGTGCTATTCATTTTTATGATCACTAGATGGCCACAACATACGGCGCACTGTGTTGAAAAGCTTCGAGTTATGAATCCTTTTGTGATAGAGTTGAGAGAGGAAAGCCTCTTCACAAAGCTTCGTTTAACAACCACAACCTGCTGTTTCATGACAGTCATCAGCAGATGTCGCTGTTTTACAACTATGAGTTAGTAAACAGGGCCAATTTGGTTGAGTTGTGGCCCAAATGATACACTGCACACTTACGCTGTGTACTGTCGCTTAGTGTATGAATTTTAGCCCATGCATGTTGTTTCAAATGGTAAATTTAAAAAAAAATTATATATTATATTATATTATTACACAATGAGGCATTTGTCAGTCAAAGTGGCATTAAGTCTTGGATTGGATGATCACGCATGTTTAGACTAGGGTGCCATTTGATTTGGGACAGGCGCTGTTTACTATTTTATATATATATATATATATATATATATATATATATATATATATATATATAACACAAATTTCCACACTGTTGAATAGATCTGAACTTAAAGGTGTTGTTCACCCAAAAAAATCATTTACTCACCCTCAAGTTGTTCCAAACCTTTATGAGTTTCTTCCTTCTGTTAAACACAAAAGATTATATTTTAAAGGATGTTGAAAGCCACTGACTTCGATAGTAGGGGAAAATAATATACTAAATACTACTCTCCATATCACTGCCATATAAAAAAAATAGCACAAATATAGTAAGAGTGGTATAATATTATATATTAAAACAGCTTGAACGATTCATAAAAAAGATAATCAATCAGTGCAGTACAGTGCTATTCGCGTACCATTGAAAATAAACACACTGTTACATTACACATCTATAATAAATACGGACATTAGAATGACTGCTGACTAAATCATAATGTAACATGGTGTTTCATTATTAGCAGCTATGCTGAAAAAATACCTTTAAATAGTAAAAATCAATTAATTTAAATGAAATATTATTACATAAAATGATTCATTGAGACATGATACAGTTATTCCAATATTAAAATGGTTTGATCTTTGACCTCTGACACTGATTTGACCGTTTTTGATGAATTCAGTATTTTCTTTTACTGTAAAGCTGTTCTAGAGAAGATCAACTGAGAGGTGCATAGCAGAACAGGAAGAAGATCTTCGCCTATAAACTAAACTCACACACACACACTAAATGCCTACACACTGTTTGTCCTTCCAACAGATCAAACCATGTTTCTGAGGAAATCAGACTGCAGCAGGTTTCGGTTTGACTCTGAAGATAAGCTACTGGTGTCAGGGTATATTTCAGTAAATCTGGCCATGTGAGAGGCCAAGATGGTTTTGGGGTTTGCAGTTTGCAACTGAATACTTATAAAAGCCATTTTAAAAGAAGCTTTAACTATAAAATTAATGTTGACTAATACAATATTCACACAATATTACACTGTTCTACACTGTCAGAACTACATAAAAAAAACTACAAATAAATATAAAACTGAATAATGTTTTTCTATTTTAAAAATGGGTAAAGTCTTGATTAAAACCAGAAGAATGTGTATATGTAACTATATATATATATATATAATATACATTCAGAGAGAAGGAAGAAGGACAGAGTGTGTGAACTAGGAGGGGGAGGATTTACACGCCAGGTTGTGTTTTCTCAGGGGACAGTGTTTTTAGAGCAGACACTGAAGAACAATAGACAATGGTTTGCACATTTGTTTTGTGCTATTTATTTTGGTGGCGTCTGACTGGTAAGTTACACAAGAATTTGTACAACTTCACTTGTTTCCATTTTAGAGTTCCAAAGCTGCTGATACTTTTAATTAACAATTATTAGTTGTTATCTGTATCACATTAACCAGTTAATCATTATTGTGAGATTAAGATTCAGGTAAAAGCATGCACATTAAATAACTGGTTCACACTCATCTGTCTGTTCTTATATCTCACATTTCATTTGTTTTATGTCTCTTGCTGTTCTATAATTCACATTTAAAGGTAACAAATACATAAAACTTTGTATACTTAAAGAACATCAATATGTTCTCCAGGTGTGTTTGGTTCTGAGACAAATGAATTGCAATCACTGTCAGTAGTGGCGGGAGATTCTGTCACTCTTAATACTACCATTACTGAAATACCTGAAGAAGATGACATACTGTGGAAATTTGGAGTTGAAAAGCCTCTGATAGCTCAAATAAATAGAGCTTATGGAATCATCAACACATATAATGAAGGGAGATTCAGAGACAGACTGAGGCTGGACAATCAAACTGGATCTCTGACCATCACAAACATCACAACTCATCATGCGGGACTCTATAAACTACAGATAAATGGAGCAGAACGGTCATCAAAAACATTCAGTGTTTCTGTCTACGGTGAGTAGAGATCATTTGTCCGGTCCTTCACATATTCTTTTTTTATTAGCTACATTATCAAATCACTAAACATTGTAATATTTATCTCTATCCTCTCATGTTTTCAGCTCGTCTGTCTGTTCCTGTCATTAGCATTAACTCTTCACACTGTACTTCATCATCATCATCATCTTCATGTTCATTGGTGTGTTCAGTGGTAAATGTGAGTCGTGTGACTCTCTCCTGGTACAAAGGAAACAGTTTA